CTCCGCTTGTATCCCGGGGTGTCTCCGGCTGTATCCCCGACACTCTCCGCTTGTATCCCGGGCACACTCCGAGGGTGACCCCGAAGGGTTCCCCCGTCCCCGTGTCCGGATGGAGATCGGGCTGTCGGGAATGGCACTGCTGGGAATGTCATTGATCCTGTTGGGAATGTCACTGATCCTGCTGGGAATGTCACTGATCCCACTGCTGTCCCACAGCTCCAACACCCGGCTCTGGGTCAGATCAGGACTGGGATGGGGCTCAGGGTGATGGGAATGTCACTGATCCCGCTGTTGTCCTACAGCTCCAACACCCGGCTCTGGGGCTGGATCAGGGCTGGGATGGGGCTCAGGGTGATGGGAATGGCACTGATCCTGCTGGGAATGTCACTGATCCCACTGTTGTCCCACAGCTCCAACACCCGGCTCTGGGGCTGGATCAGGGCTGGGAATGGGGCTCAAGGTGATGGGAATGTCACTGATGGGAATATCGCTGATCCTGTTGGGAATGTCACTGATTCCACTGTTGTCCCACAGCTCCAACACCCGGCTCTGGGGCTGGATCAGGGATGGGATGGGGCTCAGGGTGATGGGAATGGCACTGATCCTGGTGTTTTCCAGGCTGGGGGAGCAGTACTACCGGGATGCCATGGAGCAGTGCCACAGGATGGGGCTCGGGGTGATGGGAATGTGGCTGATCCCGGTGTTGTCCCACAGCTCCAACGCCCGGCTCTGGGGTTGGGATGGGGCTCAGGGTGATGGGAATGTCCCAGTGATCCCGTTGTTTGTTATCCCACAGTTTGGGGGAGCAGTACTACCGGGATGCCATGGAGCAGTGCCACAGGATGGGGCTCAGGGTGATGGGAATGTGGCTGATCCCGGTGTTTTCCAGGCTGGGGGAGCAGTACTACCGGGATGCCATGGAGCAGTGCCACAGCTACAACGCCCGGCTCTGCGCCGAGCGCAGCGTCCGCCTGCCCTTCCTCGACTCCCAGACCGGCGTCGCCCAGAGCAACTGCTACATCTGGATGGAGAAACGGCACCGCGGGCCCGGTACGGGAACAGTCTGGGAATACGGCCGGGGACAGCGGGAACACCCCGGGAATACGGCCGGGGACAGCGGGAGCACCCCGGGAATACAGCCAGGGACAGCGGGAACACCCCGGGAATACGGCTGGGGACAGTGGGAACAGTTTGGGAATATGATCAGGGACAGCGGGAACACCCCGGGAATACGGCCGGGGACAGCGGGAACACCCCGGGAATACGGCCGGGGACAGCGGGAACAGTCTGGGAATATGATCGGGGACAGCGGGAACAGTCTGGGAATATGATCGGGGACAGCGGGAACACCCCGGGAATACGGCCGGGGACAGTGGGAACACAGTGGGAGAACAGTGGGAATACAGCGGGAATACAGCCGGGGACAATGGGAATGCAGTGGGAGAGCGATGGGAGCACACTGGGAACACTGGGAGAACAAGGGAACACGCTGGGAATACAGCCGGGGACAATGGGAATGCAGTGGGAGAGCGATGGGAGCACACTGGGAACACTGGGAGAACAAGGGAACACGCTGGGAATACAGCCGGGGACAATGGGAAC